CCATACACTAAATTACAGCATTTGCAATATCTTCTCCACGCGTCTGACCGCCGCATTTAATAATCCTAACAGTTCTTCTTTAGGGCCTGAATGAGACATAAATCTAAAAAGTGAAACTTGCGCGGTATCGTTTATGTCACTAGACTCGTCAACTGCTATTAATAAAGCCGAATCCAATTTCAGATCTTCGATGTGCTGGGTGGTTCTATTCGAACACATTTTAATTGTTCTAACCTGGTAACTCTTCAATTCTTTTAAGAATATCTGCTTTTTTCATAAAATAGCTCTTCGGATACATTTATAAAACATTTTTTATGTAGTCGCCGTATGTGTACGGTTTCCTTCTCTTAGGTAAAAACTTTTTCAATCTTCGCTAAAAGCAAATCTTGCCAGTTATTAAGCACAGAATTTAACTTGACGACTCTTGACTCTTCTGAAGTTTCTCAACTACTTTCTTCCTTGCATCACCGGTAGGATAGTTAGTGCTAAATAACGCGTGCTTTCTTGTAAAGTCTCTCTAAATTTGACTTCTTGCTATGCGCGAATTTCTCTTTACAAATAAGACATGTCGGAGTAGATCTGAACTCAACTTGAAATTCGCGGTTTTGATCTTCCGTTTTTCTTTGCTTTTCAAGTTAAAACTTCCTTGGATATTTGCGAAAAGTTCCGCGGATATTTGCGCCAGAGCCGCATTTAAGGAGCCAAAGAGCAACATGCGGCTCTGAAACCGCACTTTGCAGACCTCTGCCCTAGACAATCAACCGCTCTAAATAATATTATTGCGTCTGGTAACGTGGCCGAAGTATTTTAGTAGCTTTTTGTTCACTATTCGGATAGTCGCCACAGCTCCTTAACTTCCCTAAGGACACAATCTTGACTGATCAAGACTCAATTGGTCTTGTGCTTTCACAGTTGACGATTCGGCTTCGTACAGAAATATTGGGAATATTAGAGTTTCAACAATTTTTTTTGGTTCTTTGTGTGATCGCACTGTCTTTACAAGTTTTGTCTAGCTTTTCATTGTTCTCCTTACTATTTATGTTCTACGTTTTATCTCCTGTGTACAGCCTTTTGTCAGATATAACAAGGCCTTATCACTTTCCCTGTCTAATAATTCGTTCCTGCATTTCGGAGAATTGGCTTAAAACCGGATTGCTCGTGATCCTCATTTTCACAAAAAAAATGTTCAAATGTTAAGCTCATTTTTGGCTCAATGGTTATCTACATAAAAATGTGTTTTTTGGTTCCCACAAGACGGAGCAACCTACCACACAACGTGCAAAGTTATCAATTGAATCCGGGACGCATTCGATGACCGCATATTTTCGCATAATAGACCGGTGATTAGGCCTCCGTGATCGTGTGATATCACAGCTATGGAATACCTTCTGAGGATAAATTTGAAGTCGCTGTTGCTCGAAAGTGCCCGAAAATTGGACTTTCAGATTGCTCTTCATTCGAGAAAGCCCATATGCTCCAAATCATATTCAAGCTATAATGACAGGCAACTGTGGTTTCAGTAAAGCCAGTACCATGACTTTAGTATGATTTTTATGAGATTTATTTCAGTTCAAAATTCTATAACTGAACGAAAAACACAGCCTTTACATGTGAAGTTAATGCAGCTCATTTTCAACCCTTTCTACGTTAATAGTGCGAATTCTAGTGCTTTCTATTAAATTATATCCTCACAGCGGGCAAATATTTTTACAGAAACAGCCTGGATTATATACAGATTATTTAGGTCTGTCTTGGGTCCCGGCAATTATAGATTAGCTTTAAACCAACAGAATTAAATCGCTTTTCACCATTCTCATTTCGACTATTCGAGAAAGTTCCTTAATTTAGATATCCGAACATTTAATGGGTTTTTATATTAGTGCTGTTCCCTATTGTGCAGGTTATCTTTCTATTATAAACCAT